TATATATATATATATATATTTATACATAAACTTCGAATGGAAATTTTATTTGAGATCGACTCCAAGTTTTTGGTTGGACGAATAAGTCGCTGTGCTTCTACATATTTTTATCCTAAACTTACATTTCATTGTATATCCTAACATAACGGAAATTTATTACGATAAATAACATTTTCATAAAAAAAATTGACGGATGAGATGAAAAGCACATATGGTGGTGCAAACAGTAACCAAAAGTTGATGGGGCCACAGTAATGGGCCTATGCGACAGCCATGAGCCCAGAGAAGAAGGGGGAAGGAAAAACCCAAGCGAAGTGCAGATACGCAATAATCAGTCTGAGAAGCACCCAAAGTTGAGAGTGTGCGAAGAATTGGGTGGTGAGAATGGGAAGGAGAAAGGGGTATGTGGAGTTCGAGGAGTCGCCGCCGGACGACTTCGATCCGGCGCATCCGTACAAGGACCCGGTGGCGATGCTGGAGATGCGCGAGCACATCGTGAGAGAGAAGTGGATCCAAATCGAGAAGGCCAAGATCATTAGGGAGAAGCTCCGATGGTGCTACCGCATCGAAGGCGTCAACCACCTCCAGAAGTGCCGCCACCTCGTCCACCAGTACCTCGAGTCCACGCGTGGCATTGGTTGGGGCAAGGACGGTCGCCACCCCTCGCTCCACGGTCAGATTCCGAACGTTCTCGAATGTCATAGCTAGGGTTTTCGGAATTACGTTCAGTATTGTCTTCTGAAACAAATTTGGAAGGAATTTATTGTTTGATTTTGGAATTGTGGTGAATTGTGTTGTTCTCTGTGTGCTGGTTGTTTTTTGTGTTGATTACTTATTTGTTGTTGAATTTTCTGAACCAGGTCCGAAGGTGGAGGCGGTTGAGTCCGAATGACTGTCTTGTGGATAAATAAAAGGTTATTTCAAACGTCATTTCTACAATTTTCTCTGTTTTTTTATTTGAATTTTTCTTTGAGTGATTCATGTTTAGGGATTTGACAAGTTTTACGTTGGTTGTTCCTTTACATGGGCTTGAGTGATTCATATTTGGGGTTTCGATAAGTTTTTCATGTTAGGGGTTTCGAACGTCATTTCCGTAATTTAATCTCTTAAATGAATCCATCGTGAGTGGTTCGGACAAGTTTTAGGTTGACTGTCGAGGGTCTAACATAGCTCTCCTCCTTTACTTGGGCTTGGGATTGAATAGAAATTGTAGGCGGAGTTATTTTCAAATGAGTGATACTGGAAAAAAAAATGGACTTGCAATTAAATTAGTAGTGTGTTTGGTTGCACATTGCCGATATGATTTTTCACGTTTAACCAGAAGTTAATAGTTATATCTTCCACGTTTTTGGGATGAATTGATGTGATTCTCTGCTTTTTAATGAGTTTCCAAACATGCATAAAGTCTATGCTGACTAGATATCTATTTATGTTGCTGCCGTCTTTTCATGCTTATAAAGTCTCAAGAATTTGAGTTTCTTGTTCAGAAGTGTTGAGCATCCTAAACCAGGCAAATTGTTGAGCATCCTAAACCTTGCCTGAAGAAGTCAATCTGCAGGGTTAACTATTTTTGACTATATGTAGATATAAAGTCCTAAATTAATTAACAGATTTGATTGTTGTTACCATAAACTTCTCCGTACAGATCCTCTCATTTTTGGTTGAATTTTGACACTGATGCAGATGACTAGTGTGACAGTAATATGGAGAATTGCTCTGATAATAAATCAACTACGGAAAATGAGGCATTCCATGCCTCTTTGTTGTTTTAAAATGAATATATAAAAATGATGAAATGAGAGAGTATGCAGTTAACTTTACAATAGCGGGGTAGTTGTGTGTATTAGTTGAGTGGAAGAGTCTAAAAAATGTGGATAGCTTGTGTGAATTAGTGCTTAAAAGGAATTATTGTTGCAACTTGCTAGTCAAAACAGTATTTGGAAGAGATCCTAAATGATTAAACCCTCCATCCTCCCAACTTTTGTTCCACTATGGTTGGAGGAAAATGGAGGGGAGATATTTTTATAAATGATTGTTGTTTGGTTCAATTTTGAAGAGGGGAGGGGAAGGATGGCAGCAAAATCCCTCATCTAATTTGAGCTCTCCTCCAAATTGAGGAATTTGGAGGGGATTTAAAATATTGAGTATATTGTCTAAAATATGCTTATTTATGTTTTAAATTTCAAAACTATAAGGGTACTAAGGTAAGTTAAAATCTCTTGTGAATCAAACAAGGACAAAGGAGCGACCTTCCCTCTCCTTCACATTAAAATCTCTTCTCTTTTCTTATCAAAACAGAATTTCTAATCTCTTCTTTTCCCACCCTGCCATTAAAATCCCTCCCTCCTTCCTTTGAACCAAACGGTCCCTAAGTTATGATTGATGTAGCATTTGCATTGTTGTTAAAATTGATAAGAACTAAGTGTTGGAGTTATTTGAGTATTTGGTCTGAAAAGTAAAACACTTGTTTAGTTTAATTTGACAAGTACAACATCGTTGGGTGACTTCTTTGAGGTCAAAGACTAGTATAGTATTACATATTTGATCAAATTGGAATGTTAATTTGTAACGCCAGGTACATTATAGGTTGTTTTAATATTCTTTATTTCAAAAGATTATTCCATCGATACAATTATTTGTCTGTAAAAGAAAATAAGTTTTGTTCCTCTTGCAGGGAAGATAGATTATCCAATCGGTTATATTGCGATATCAGATATTGGGTGGATGAGTGCTTATGTTGCAGTTATTGTGATCATGTTCTTTTTCTTTACTCGAACTTCCTGCGAACTACAACTGTATTTTGACTTGGCCTTGGCTATTTTTGCTTGCTTATTAGGCTTCTGTCGCTTGTTTCCATTTAAATGTAAACAAGTATGGAAAGATATGGGCCACAGTACATCAGAATCAGATTATGAAATAAGTTTATTTCGTTTCCTGTTATAATGAGTGCTTCATTAATAATAAGATTGTACATTTAGTTCATTCCTAATATTCAAAGACTCTTTAAACTCAAATGCCACACACCGATTTGTTAATCATGAGATTTCGTTGTCGTGTTGGATTTGTGAGGGTGATAAGAATTTTCTTCACCAAACCCCAGCACTCGCTGAAAGGGAGAATATCAAATGTTTTTGCTGTAATGATCTTGATGGTGTTATTGTTGCATGTGAATGAACAGAGAGGAAACTGCTGGGAGACATGTTGGAAGAGGACCATTCTAAATGATAATCAGTGATGGTCTTGGAGTTATGGAAACAAACTAAAGTACATGTTTGGATTAGCTTCTTTTCCACATGAAAGTAGTAGTAGCTTTAAACATTAATAACAGATTTTTAATGAATAAACAAGTGACTTGATTTTAAACAACATAAACAAAACCAAAGATGCTACTAGGTTGTGTCTCATAACATTTAAGAAGACAACTTAAAACCTTAACAAGAGGACTCGTTGTTGGAGTTCAAAACCTCTGTACCTTCTTTCACCTTTATTTGGTGCAAGACTGCTAGTTCTTGAGCTGAAACATCTTATGTCTATTGCTGAAAGATTTCGTGATAATATGAATAGGTGATGCTGTGCTATAGGCAGAGTCAGTTAGGTTATCATGCAAAGCTTGAGAATATGAATATATATATATATATATATATATATAAGGATTATATATATATATATATATGTAAGCGTGAGCAAGAAGAATGCTGAAGTTGATTACAAGAATGAGAAAGAAGAAAACCGGTTAAAGTGCTTGAAACAGTAGAAAGAGGAGTCTGTAACAATAGTCATCGATCCTTGATGAAAGAAGACATGATCTGCAAGCAAAAGAAAACATTGAAAAGAGGTGAAACATGGAGCTCCCTTCAATCCAATGGTAGGGCTAAGCAGGCGGGTGGAGTTGCTCTCACAGCATGCAGATGGCCAAACTTAACATTTGGAAAGAAACATTAAGGGTAGCCGAATGCATGAGATGACAGCTCTTGCCTCTCCTCAGCCCTTCGTATTGGATTGAAAGGAGCTCCCCTTTGCCTTATATACATTTCTTAGCTATGAACAAAATGGTCCCCTCCCTCCTTAAATACTACTACTAAAAAGTTGTTGTACACTCCTGCTTCCATCGTCAACAATGTCTCATGCCCCATGCTTTCTACTGTCTCATGCCCCATGCTTTCTACTTTCTCCATGACTAATTTTGTCCCTCTTTCAAGATGCAGCATACTGCATACGTTTATATATATACAAACACTTGAACACCGCCAAGTAAAAGGAAAACCATATTAGCATTTATAGCAAAATATCCAAATACTAATTTGTTGCAAATTCAAAAATTGAAAAAACAAAAATTCTTGCTAACCGGTGTCTTAAGTTAAGAAATTAATATGTCGACATTAAAAAGTCCACATTTGATTGAATCACAACTTCTAGTAATCTACTATTTTTCACACTCTTTATAA